ATGAAAAAGCGTACTAGGATCCCGAATCGCCAAGCAAAGTTCACTCTTGATCCTTATTTCACAATTTGACAACACGACAATTTGGTTGAAGAATCAATGTTTCTAATCTATCCAATAATCTCTTTCGAGTAGAATTGAACATATTCTAACATACCATTTGACTATATTTCTATGACAAATGCAATATCCAAGAATGCATGAAGTTTTGTAAACACTTAGAGATTCACGTAATGCATATCGGTATATTTCTATCCTCTATGAACAAAACGATGATTTATACCTTATTGAGTTTATTTCCATTCTTTCGAATGCATAAAATAAACCACATAAACTCACACAATTATCGTGTACTATAATCATGGAGGCAAAAAGAGTATATAAATCATTCAACATCCATCAAACATGTTTAAATATCAAATTGCAAAATAGAAATTAAAAGATCATAATACGAGATTCATCATTCACTAGTACATAATTAATCTCTCTAGCCTAGCACGGTGAGAAGAATAAAATCAAAAAAATAAATAAAGAACGACATCATCAATTCAATTCTTAAATTAGATCTTCGCGTTCTTGCCTTTTTTCTTATCTCCAAAGTCTTTTTTTCCCACCTCTTCATGTATTCTACTGTTATTTATTTCTAAGTCGAAAATTGGTTGAAAATCACGTCCAATTTTGTTTCCAAAAGAGTTCCAATCAAATAATGAATGTTTCATTCGCACATGGATTTTTTGTCTCTGCACAGCAGTCCGTATTTTAGCCATAACTTCCTCTCTAGTTATCCGATTGGTGCGATTTAAAGTGAGTTGGAAAGATGGATCAAAGGGATAAAACTTTTCTAGAAATAGAATTTTTCCATTTCGGATGTTTATAGTACCAAAAATGGGTATCAATATTCGGCTAAAAATCTGGAATAAACTTGTGTGATTGGACATTAATTGTGATAATATTTTGATCATATTACATTCCTTTTTGAGTTCTAATTCCATCCAATTGTATCCTATCAATCTTCAAAGTATCATCTTGTGATCTGAATGAACTATTGAATTTGCAATTCGATCCTCAAACTTTGGACGTTGCTTCAAATTAGCCATTTTTCGTTTGTTTTTCTTAATTTTCGCCATATTTATTATTAATGTCCTGAAAAATACAAATTATATTGAATTAAGCTATATTACACATATTTATTAACAATTATACATGTTTAAACATGCAATAAATGTGTAAAAATGCATTTATCACACTTTCATAACTTCACAAATTGAGCCAAAAAGGTACCAAGAGGCTATTAAATTCCCAAATGGTGTGAGGCCATGGAAAGTGAGATCAAAGCTCTTGAGCTGAATGACACATCGGTTCTAGTTGATCTGCCTCTTGATAAGAAGGCAATAGGGCGTAAACGGGTTTACAAAATAAAGTTTAATGCTAATGGAAGCATGGAGAGACACAAAGTCAGGCTAGTGGCAAAAGTATATACCCAACAAGAAGGTTTAGATTATCACAAAACCTTCTCACCAATGGCAAAACTTCTCGCTATCAGAACCTTGTTGTGGCTGCTGTGAAGGGTTGGTTTCTTTATCAATTGGATGTAAACAATGCCTTCTTACATGGAGATTTAGACGAAGAAGTGTGTATGGAATTATCCCCAGGTTATGATAATGCCTATGGATCAAAGGTATGCACACTTCGCAAAAGCTTGTATGGACTCAAACAAGCATCAAGACAATGGTATTCAAAGTTATCCACTTTCATCATCCAACATTGTTTCACTCAGTCTAAGGCTGATTACAGCTTATTTGTTAGATGCACTCAAGACTTTTTTGTAGCTATTTTAGTTTATGTAGATGATATAATTATAGCTGGTGATTGTTTGGAAGCTATAAATAGCCTCAAGACAGTACTTGATGCATAGATCAAAATTAAAGACTTGGAAAAACTGAAATACTTTCTGGGTATTGAACTGGCTAGATCAATAAATGGGGTACACATTTGCCAAAGAAAGTATACACTGGATATACCGGCAGACTCAGGATCCATAGGATCAACTCCAGCCAAAGTTCCACTTGATCAAAACATCAAATTATCCAAAAGGGAAAATGAATTGCTTGTTGATCCATCCATCTATAGACGGCCAATTGGACGCCTGCTATACTTAAATATAACTAGGCCAGATATTTCCTATTCAATCCAACTCATGAGTCAATATATGGATCAACCAAGAGTACCCCATCTCAATGCAACACAAAAAGTGCTGAGGTATCTTAAAAGAGCCACATGACAGTGGTTGTTTTACCCTTCTTCTTCTGAACTTTAGTTAAATGGATACTCAGACTCAGATTGGAGAAGTTGTCGAGACACTAGGAGGTCAGTCACAGGTTACTGTGTATTTAGTGGATCATCTCTAGTATCCTGGAAATCTAAAAAACAGAATGTAGTGTCAAGGTCATCTTTTGAGGCAGAGTATAGAGCCATGGCCAGTGTTTGCTGCAAATTAACTTGGTTAAGATATCTGTTTAAGGACTTGAAGGTTGAACATACTCAAGCAGCCATTCTTTATTGTGATAATAAATCAGCCATTTACATTACCACAAACCCCATCTTCCATGAGAGAACCAAATATATAGAGATAGATTGCCATCTCATTAGAGATGATATACAAGCTAGTGAAATTGCTGCTGAATATGTTCATACTGGTTCTCAGGTTGCAGATATTTTAACTAAGGCATTGAATTTCACGAGTTTTTATCTTCATATGGTCAAGATGGGAGTAGCAAACATCTACCCTCCATCTTACGGGCGGCTGTTGGAAGATAAAGCACGAGCTGAGGAGAATGAGGAACTAAGGAAATGAGTTGGCAGCCTAGTCATCCATTTAGCTTCTTCAGCTCGCATTGCTGATTGTACAATGCAAGGTCCTAGAAGACTAAATGGTAAATGATCAGTTTATAGTGCACATGGAGGTTGTTAGGAAAATATTCTTTCTTTCATTTTGTAACTGATTTTGTCCTTTTCTTACTTAAGGTGTATATATGTGCGTCTCCTGTAAATTTGTAAGGCAATTCAATTGAATTCAAGAAGTTCTTCATAGCTAGTCTTACTTCCTTTCGAGCTCTTTATTTCAGAATTTACAAAGAGGGTTCTCTTCAAGCCTCCTAAAACACAGTCTTTAAACAAGAAAAAGACTGAAAACTTTGCCCCTGAATTCATTTCATGGAAAACGAAAAAAGAAAAATGTAAATTAAAAGGTTTGAACAATGGTGTTATAGGCGTGATATCTGAATGTAACATTTTATTTTATTTTATTGTTTTAAATGTACGCAGGCTATGGTATATTGTAATTCAACAGTAATCACTATTTTTTGATTTTAATGATACAATCCGATCGTATTCTGTTGTTTATTAGTGTGTTGATGTAACTTTTTATGTTCTGAAAAATAAGTTCAATATAAATCCTGCTACAAAAAATTAAACATGGCTGTATTTCCGGAAACTTTAATGTAGTATTTTATATCTAGGTTACAAACTTTGCATCGACAATAATTGCTATACGATTTCACACTCAAAATAAGTATAATTTGTGTTTGGATGTTCATAGGTTCATAAATACATCTATTTCACGCATTAATGCCAATACCATGTGCAGTGCAACACATGGGCTTAAAAGTAGTTAAAATAGAAGAAGAAAGAATAAAGAGAAAAAAAAAAAATTCAAATACCAAACTTGTTGCCTAAATCTACCCATATCATCCTTCTTTAAAAGGGAAAAAAAATATTCAAATACCAAACGTGTTGCCTAAATCTATCCGTATGGACCTTCGTTATTCCTTTTCTTGCTCCCTAAGTCATTCTGATTCTAGCACATTTCCATCAATTCGATGTACAAATTTTCAGAAAAGAATGCAATCTAAACTTCGGTTTCAAATACGATATCTTTTGTCTCCAAACGTGTTTATGTTCTTGAATTAAAAAAAAAATTATATCAATAAAGTATGGATTGCTTTTAGATTAACTCATTTTTATTTTCAAAAAGTATTATTTGTTTTAAACTCATTTACTTACAAATAAAAAGATCGATAATTTTATAAACAATAATGTTGTATACGTCCAATGATGTTATACTCTAGTCTATGTGAGAGTGAGATTATTATCATATTGTCCAATAAAGTTGAAATATATTTTTATTGATTGTAAAACATGAGAGCGATCTCCATTATAACATAAATATGTACTTAACACCATTAAGACTCATATTTTTTTTAATGCTCGGACAAACATGCATTTAAAACATGATTGTGTTTGTGTCACAAATAACATTGCACTATAACTATTACATTGTTTTCATGTGACTATAAAAAACATATTTTTTCGCGCATCAAGTTGAATTAAGTAAAATATGTGCTAGCGTCATTCTTGGTTGATAAAAAATTGTAATTATAATCATCATTCAAAAGGATAAAGAATAAAGAATAAAGAATAAAGAATAAAGGAAAAAGAAAAGTAGCCCATTCCTAATCGTGGGAACTTCAAGTTTCTACTAACAAATTTGGAAACATTTTTTAAAGTTGCCACCAATAATATAGTAGAGTCAAATGCAAGTGTAGTCATGTATAAAAGGAGGGTTAGTTTTTGTGATAAATTAATAGCAAGTACTATTTAGGATAAACAGTGTGAGCACAGAGTTATGATTTCAATTGTGAAGAGGATAGTGGTGGGACCACTTAAAAGGCGGTTCAGAAGGAGTAACGGTGAATTAACAAGCTTCTTTTTTTAATTTTTGTTTCATTTATTACTAACGTATTATTGTTTTTTGATTGTAATTTTTTTATGAACTTTTGAGAATAAAAAGATATGTATAAGCACACATTTACCTTCAATTATTGATATGAAAGCAGTGGAGGATGGTAATCTGGAAAAAGACCTGAACGAAGCATTAATAATAGGCAAGTGGGAGTATATCGAACGAATGATCGGCGAACATCCAAATGAAGTATTCAAAGCCAGGCTAAATAAAAATGGAGATACACTGCTCCTGTTGGCCTTCAATGAAGGAAAAAATGTGTTAATCAGGAGGATGCTGGAAAAGATTCCACCAGATTTACTGGCTGAGACTGACAACTTAGGGAATACAGCGCTTCACTTAGCAGCAAAAGTTGGACTTGTTGAAGATGCCAAAATACTTGTGAGAAAAGATTCCAAATTGCTGAATTGTGAAAACAAAGATGGACTTTTGCCAATTCAATTAGCTGCGAGGCGAGAACAAGCAAATGCTCGCAGCATGACTTCTTACTTGTTTAAAGCCGGCAAGGAAGATGAAAATCATTCCAAGCTACTCAAAGAAGAAGCTGGTGCTGGTGTTGGTTCGAGGGTTATGAAATCTTTAATAAAAGCAGGATTTTATGGTAAGATCAAGTCTAGCACTTCCAACTTCTTTAGCTCACCTGCTGATCAACTAATATATCAAAACGCATGGGAGGTCATGTGGATTTGATGTTGTGATGTATCAATTTATACAGAAAAATAATCTTGAAAATTGTAATTTTTCGGAGATAAAATATTTAATGTTTTTCTGCTGATATTTTAGATTTGGCTCTTCATTTACTTGAATTCAATGAGAAATTGGCATGGGAAAAAAAGGATATCAGTCCTTTGGAGCAGATGGCCAGTGATCCGGGTGGTTTCAAAAGTGGATTTCGCTCGAGAAGTTGGCAGTCCTTAATCTACTCGTATTCATGTATCTCTGAGTTTCCTTTCCTCTCCATTATTCATAATCAAATATATGTATGTTTATGTACTGTTTGTCAGGCATAAATATTCACAATAAGTATGTACTTCGATTCTCAAATTTTCAGCACTCCTTGTTATAATTAATGTCTTATATACTCCAATTGTATGAGCCCACCCGAACGTTTATGGGGGTTATAACTTGTATTCAAAATCAATTGTTTTAATCAATTGTGTAGATGTTCCCACGAATGGGAGTACAGAGTACTCGCTATCTGAAGGTATGATGAAATCACTAAATTCCTCCATGTTGTTTTGCAGGGTACAAGATCTGGAGTGCGCTTCCAAAAGTTCTAGGTAAGAATATACATAAGCAGTCACTTAACAAGAAACCCAAGATATTATTTAGTCATGAAGTAATTAGTGGGATTTGTTGCAAATGCAGTGCAAAATAAGGACATTCCTGCACTAAAATTGAAGCATCAACATGCACGTCAACTAGTCCAGTCCTTATGCTCAAATATTAAAAAAATGGATGAACCCCAAAAGAAACTTGGAAAGATATTACTTTTAGGGGCACAGAATGGAATAGAAGAGATTGTCCATGAAATTCTAGAGTCTCTTCCTTCCACAATAACTTATACAGATGTTAAGAAGCATTCAATATTTCATGTTGCTGTAATGTACCGTCATGAAAACATTTTGAAGATGGCGCATGAGAAGAATAAGCAACGGAAAGGGACTCAAAATCCTGATAGCCGTGAAAACACTCTATTGCATTTGGTGGGATCTACACCGCTTCAAGCTGGAATTGATACTGATGCCGGAGCTATTTTTCAAATGCAGAATGAACTTCAGTGGTTTAAGGTACTAATAATATTCTTACCTGTCTTATGTTTAAGCTCAGGCCAGAAAAGAATTGCCTGTTTTTGCCTCCACTTGATTTTGAAAGTAGTGAACTCCAGAAAAAAAATGTTCCAGAATGGGTTTCTAATTGAAGTTTTAGGAAACATTTTTATCCATTTTTACCTTCATCCATCCACACAATGCATTCACTGGAATAATGTAGCACTTATAACTCGAATATTGTTTTTCAACTGGTAGAAAACATTCTCTCTTCTCGGTGAGAACCATATCAGGTTATAAATCACTGACCAATTTTCCACTATGCACCCTCATTGAATATGAAAATTGATCTCTTGCCAAATTTCCTGCTTGATGCAGAAAGTGAGCGAGCTTGTAACGCCTCAAGAATTAAATTCGGAGAATAAACAAAAAAAGACACCATTTGCACTCTTCCAAGATCAGCACGCTGCAATGGCTGCAAAAGAAAAAGAATGGATGACAAGAATGGCAACTGCAAGCTCAGTTGCAGGATCACTCGTTGCCACAGTGGCATTTGCTGCCCCATTCCAAGTACCTGGAGGAAATGGTAACGGTGGCATACCCAATTTCTCCAATAAAAGTTCGTTCATAGTCTTCGCCATTTCAGACGCTCTTGCACTTTTCTCTTCTATCACTAGTGTTCTAACCTTCTTATCCATTTTCACCTCCCGCTATGGAGTTCGTGATTATCTTCGTGCCTTGCCCCACAGAGTGATAATCGGTCTAATTTCGTTGCTCCTCTCTTTCATATTTTTAACGACTGCCTTTAGTTCTACATTATTTCTTGTATTTGCAAAAGAAAATGACCTGATTCTCATACCAATAATCCTACTCTCTTGCATACCGGTGATCTTGTATGCCAAACTTCAGCTTCCTTCCCTCCTTGCTATGATCAAATCCACATTTTATCCAAGCATTCTCCATTGGTAGATATTGTACACTGGAGCAATCAAACTAAGAATATAGTATCGTGATTTGAGTAAAAAAATAATCCAAGCATTTCATTTTATGTCCATGTTTTATTTTGATTGTTCAGTTTGATGAGTCCGTTTGGTTGTGTTGTGTGGTTTGTTCAGTCCATTTTTTTAATTTGGTTGTGTAGTTTGACGAGTCTGTTTGGAGGTTGATCAAGTCTATTGGGAAAATGTGACTGACAACACAGTCATATTCTATATTAAATAAATCGATATTAATTGTTACTTGATTGACTTTCTTAATTTCATAGAATTTTATGATACGAACTTCTGTAGACTATACGTGTTTGATAAAATCATAATTAAATGGATGAAGTGTTGAGAAATGTGTTTAAATTGATGTGCACCTGTATCTGTATCTTAGTGAAGTTCACGTGCTCGCTCGAATACACCTAATGAATGTGTGTAAACATAATTTACTCACAATTTGAATCTCGAGTTTATTATACTTTTGCGAGTGTATTTGGTATCTAAAGTGAAAATTTTGATGAAAAAATATTGTAGTCGTCATATTATAATGTCCTAAAATATTTTTATTTTTGTGGGGTTGCGTAAGATCAAAACAGGTAATTTTGATTGCACTCAAACTAAAGTAGGAAGCTTTAATTCATTATTTATTTGAGTTTATAATTTATTGATCGACACAGTTTAATGTATCTGTGATTTCAAATTTTGAGACACTTTATCGTGTTCTTCATAATGAATCATTTCCCCGTTACATGAGAGTCTATGAGTGTTCTTTGGGGTTTACCATGTTATGTTGATAATCAATTAACTTTTTGTTGTCACTTGCATGATTATTATAGTTAACTTAATCCAAGAATAATATTAAAATATATCTTAGAATTTATTTGTAAGAGATTTTTTCTAAGTGAAAAAGGAGAATATATGGTTAAAAATAGGGAAAAAGTTATGGATCCCTTGAAATATATGGTTGCGATTTAAAAAAAAAAAAACATGTCACGAACAAGCTCTTTTAAGTGATTTTTTATTCAGCTATTGAATTTTGGTTTATGCAAACTAACTTTTATTGTGTTCACTCTAGCATTCAAATAGAATAATTAACTGAAAATTACTGTAGAATGTTTTTTATGTGTTTACTCTAGAGAACATTAAAAAATTATAATTCAGCTTTCATTATTTCTGTAAATTTAATTGATTGAAATCGAAAAGTTTTGTAACTAATTATTCAATCCTCTCCTAGGTTGTTGGCACATAGGTATACGATTTTACAAAGTAAATTAGCCCCTATTTGGTTTAGATAAAAATCAAATTTTTAATAGATTTTAATAAAAGTTGATGAAATATGCGATTGAAAATTTGATAAAAGTTATAGATTCTATGAAATGTGATTGACAATAAGTTTGAAAAATGAATTTTAAAAAATAGGGACTTAATGTTTTGACATTTTTATGTCTCGAGCATTGTTTAAAGTGATTGTTGTGCTAGATTTTTACAGTAATGTGATAAATATATTTCTTGATATTCATCTTCTCTATGACCTGGTAGTAGACATTTAACTCTCTTTTCAAGGTGTAATTTAAGATTGAATTTATATACTAATCCCCGCCTTCTTTATTTTTGATAGATCTTAATAATTGCAAGTCAATATTTCAAAAAATAAGAATTTTCCTATATTTTTTATTGCTCTAACATCTAATACTCGACTAGGCTAATAATCCATGCATTACCACAAATCTAATCCTTTCAAATAAATATTTGGGGTTCAATCATGCATATAGTGCATTTGCCTTTTCATATTTGTTGTGCGTATTTTGTTTCATGGACTAGATTTGATTCTTTGTTGTAGGGGTGTCCAAAAGTCTCGAACTGAACCCGAACCCGAATCCAAACCGAACCGAATCGAGCGGTTCTTCATAAATTAAAGGATTATTCTCTTTGTATATTATGGTGTACATAAAGGTGTCCATAATGGACACCCGGCACCACCCTATTGGATGGAGTGCAGGTCCCACCGATACTCCATCCAATAGGATGGTGCCGGGTGTCCATTATGGACACCCTTATGCACACCTTAATGTACATGTAGCAGAGCCCTAAATTAAATACCCGAACGGGTACTCGAATCGAGAACCGATGGGTTTGAGTCGGGTCGGGTCTCGGGTCTAGACCAAGAACCGAAACTAAATAATTTTTTTATTTTTTATATTGAATCAATTAAATTATTTAATTTTTTTTAAACAAATTAGCAAATTAATTAAATAAATCAAATTATTTCATAATTTTAATTTTAAAGCCCAAATCATTTTTAAAGTTCATTAGCCCATTTTAATTTGAAACAAATGAATATACTTTATGTAGTGTTGTTATAATATTAATATCTACTTTTTGGTATTTGTATGCATTGAATTAATCTTATTGGACGGTTATTTATTTATATGTTTTTGAATTGTGCTACTTTAATTTGTAAAAGTTACGAATGAAATGTCATTAGTTGTATTTATGTAGTGTTGCTGTAAATATTAAAAAGTTTAATTATGATACGGAACCGAACGGAACCGACCCGACTTGAATCGAACCGAACCGAACTCGAACGGTTCCATTTATTAAATACCCGAAAGTTTTGGGTCGGTTCGGGTCTCTTCAAAACCGAACCGAATCGACCCACGGACAGCCCTACTTTTTTGAGTCTTTTTTCTGGAATTTTGAATAAGTGTCCTAATTAGAAACTTTATAAGGTAACTTTCACTCATGATTCATGATAGCCTTTTTATGAAATGATTAGTGCAATATACCTTATTAAAAACTCATTCTTAAGAGCCAAATTTTTACCTAATTTTCATTTTACCTAATTTTCATTTTGTTGACCTTAGAAAATTCACTCAAGAATTCCATACATGAAATCCTCATTCATCTCAATATCTTTTTATAATAATTCAGTCACCCCCAAACTGTACTAAAAATGGTTTAAGGATGTTTAACGTAACTTAATTCAAGTTTAGTTTGTAAGTTCCTCTATTTCAACCTTTTAAGCATGAATCAACTTACTACTTCATGATACAAAACTGAATTCACGCGCACAATAAATATCAAATTTTACATGAATAAGTATAAATCAATCTAAACACATAACTTATTTACAATTCATAAACTAACATATAGTTCCAAATATATTCATTTTAGTCGCCAAGGATATCTCACCCACATAAATGAGCAAACTATTATGAAAATCTTTTCGAAATTTTAAAAATTTTCACTTTTTTTAATTTTTTATATATTTAATTATAAAAATCTCATAACAATTACACAACCAATAAAAACTCAATATTTTTTTCCATCTCCAACTTAAATTAGACATTGTCCTTGAAATCCAAAATATCATCAAGTAATCAAATTAAAAGGTCAAAGAAGGAAATTAGGTATTACTCGAATGTACGTCTGATGGTTACTCTTTCTAGTTTGGATAGATCTCACTAATTGTAAATCAATATCTCAACAAAAAGGGATTTTCTATACTAACTATGCTAATAATCTCTTACCGAAAGTGTAATCATCTCAAATAAGTGTTTGGAGGCTTAATTATTCATCTTCCTATTTATGCATGCACTTTCTTTTTCATATATATTGTTTGCATTTACTTTATGCATTAGCTTTGATCAGTTTTGTGATTTTTCATTCTGGAATTATCAACAAGTGTCTGTATAGGGATCTTGTATTCGGTAGCTTTCACTCATGAGTCATGGCAGCTTTTTTTACCCATCATTAAAAATCTATTCTCAAGAACCAACCTCTAATTTAAAATTTCCATCCTATTAGCCTAAAACCATCCATACATGATTTCTTATACATGAAATCTCCATTCATTTTAATATATTCCTACAATAGTTAAGTCACCCACAAAACTATACTTACAATGGTCTAAGATTGTATAATGTACTGGTTGTTCATGTTTAACATCTAAGATATATCCCTACAATATATAAAAGAGGAGACTTGCTTCTACTGTTCCTAAGCCATTTGGCCATTTTGAGCCTATCCGTCTTCGCTGGCCAGTACGTCGAGCCGTGTGAGCCGAGATCTGTGATATTTTTTCTGAAATTACTGTCATCTTTTTGTCCTTTTACCTTTCTCTTTACGCTACTCACTCACTCTCTCACTCATTCGATTTCTCTGGATACTTCTCTTCCTCCTCTTTCTCTCACAATGTATTTCCTCCCTGTCGAAACCCTAGCGAAGTCGTCCGATTCAAGTTTCTTGCTATGTTGTAGAATCAACAGAATATCGGACCTCCAATATTAACTGTTAGAGTGGGTTTTCTGCGACGAATCGAGGGTTCTTCCATTAACTTCACTATTCTGCAAAATTTCTTCTTGAATCTCTTATACATATCTGTAATATTATCGTCAAGTTCAAATAATCTTGAAGAAAAATGGTGGAAAAGAAGCTTTTCAAGACGAAGCTATGTCTGTTGTACCAGAAAGGTCACTGCAATCGCCAGTATTGTAACTATGCAAACGGCTATGCGGAGCTCCGCCGCTCCTTCATGGTAATTTTTATATAATTTTTTTCCCCTTAAAATAGACTCCTTTATCATCTCTATAACAGTTCATTTATTCGATAGGATTCGATTCCTTTTAACTAACGTTTTATGCTTCATTTGCCTTATCCCTACAAGCTTATAAATTTATTATTTGATTTCATACTTTTAGTTATTTTGAGAAATCTAAGTGACATGTAAACCAAGGAAAATAAATGGATAGAAAATAAATGGATAGGGACAGCAATATTACTTCTAATTGGTCAGGACTTAATTAACACACATTTTTATTTTTATGCCTCTTTTCCTGTGATTTCCACTTAATTTGTGAAATTTGTGAGCCTTACAAAATCGGGGATCATGTGGAGTTATTTTACTTTCCTAATTTATATGCTGGTAAATTATTTCATGTCACTTGGATAATTCTCTCTTTTTTTTGTTGGGTTAATTATTTCATATCACTTGGATAATTCTCTCTCCTTTTCAAGAAATTCAAACCCAATTTCTACATTATTGTTCTGGGCTTCAAAATCTATTAGAATCTTGAAAAATAGATCCAATGTGGCAAATGGGTTTTCCAATTCCATTTTCATGGTATGGTAGTGAATAACTTTGTGTATTGTGCTTGTCCCAGTTATTTTGAGGCTGCAATGGAAGGTTTCGTAATGCATAGTGAAAAGTAGAAGAGCAAAATGTTGGGTTTAGTGAGAATAGGAGTAAAATTGGTGCTTTTTGGATCTGAATGAAGAGAAGATTGGAGAGAGTAGTTCAACTTCTGATTTTCTGGCTTCTGAAATTACTAGGAATGATGAGAACAGTACTTCTAAGGATTCTTCATCACCCCCTTCAATGGGTTGGTTAATGCAGAAGAACGAGAAGCCACATTGTGTCAAGTGTGATGTTTCTGAAGAAGTTTAGAAACCCCATTTGGATAGCAAAAAATTAGAGAAGCGAGGGTCATCTATGTCAGGTACTAATTATTCATATATTTTTCTTTTGTTATTTATATTAGTAATGTGTTTTCTTGTGTCTTATATGATCATATATTTCTATTAGATTAATATAATTCCTTGAATTTTCGTACTGTGTACAAGTTGAGATGACGAAATAAAGATTTTCAAAATTACTCCTTCGAGAAGATACGTCTGGTTGTAGAAATGGGGTTTGTACTGCTGTGACTATATCAAATGCTATTACTAATCTTTGTGGTATATTACTTAAAACGCTAAATTAATATCGATTAATTAACGTGTTTGCTTAATTTGAAATTGGAATGAATTCAATTATGATCAGTGTGTGCAACATGTGCTTTATTGGTTTTATTAACCACACTTTTTGGCCACATTTGAAAATTGGAACCTTTACCAACTGAGAAGAAAGTGATGCAGAGAAGGGAAATGAAGTGACTTCTTTGTGTTAGTGATCATGTTGTCCAATTGATACCTTCTTAGCAAACATTTCCAAATGGCGGCAACCTTGAGATATCTTCATAAACATGGAACGATTAAATTCAATATCTTTTTGCCTTATTGTCTATTACATCAATTACTCGAGGTTTGCAAGTATACATTCACCCTTCATGTTCTAGCAATTCCTGTTTTTGTTCGCAATACACCCTTTCTTTGCTACAATTAAGGGTTTTGGTTGGTTTTTTACCTTCATTCTTTGGTCGCTTGTTGAGCATACTCTTTTGCTTCGTTTGTTGTGCCAATGGGTTTTTGATGGGTCCAATTTTCTAAGAAGTTTTAATGGTGAAAGAGAATTGAATGAGATGTAAGTTTTTATACGGCGATATATTTTTCTTATGTTAGTAGTTTGTTACAATAATGATAATGTGAAGGTTATTATGTAATTGCTTTGTTGTACTACTATGTTTCTATTTAGTTTTTCCTTTGAAATACAAATGATTGGGCAAAGTAAACTCCATGAAACTAAGGGCAGACTACGGTCATTGCTTGCACCTGTCTTACCTTGTAGTCTTAGGTATATTGATCTTTTTTTTCCTTGTGAAGTGTATTCATCACCTGCTTTTACCGACCCCTCCTGATCCACCCTCCATTTTCCTTATCCTTTCCTGAACAAACACTGGATTACATCTACAAGTTCATTTATCTTAAAAGATGAAATTTAGCATTCAATTCTTGAACCATGCATAACTTTAGCAATTTATGTGGATGATGGGGAAAAATTAGACTGGATTCTTCTTACTCTTCCTTTTTTAGCACTGGAACTACTTAGGAATATGGTGACTCACTTTTTCTTTGGTTGCTACTGTGGACATTTGGATTTTTCGGGAGAGATTACACGCATTTTTTTTTAAACCTTTTGTGTTTGTTCTCTTTTGTAGAGGCTCAAAGTTATCAGAAAATAAATGTGTTTCTTTGATATGGTCATATGGAGAGATTTCAGCTTATCAAGCACTTCACTTATCCTTGGCCTGTAAATGTATTTCTTTTCACTTGTGAATATACCTACATTTGATGTACTAACGAATTCGTTGTGTTAGTTGATTTTTTTATGTTTTGGGTACAAGCGAAGACTCAGATCAATTGTTTGTTATTTCAGATTACTCCTTTTGACCCTGCAAAGAAGAAGAAAAAGAAGGTCGTGATTCGAGATCCTGCAGAAGATGATATTGTTGATAATCTGGCTGAGAAAACTGAGAGCCTGTTTGGTAATTTAGTTTGGCAATCTAATTTTCATGATTTCTTGTACATTGTTCCCTTTCTGCGGCTTTTTTACACGCCGACAATTGTGTTATGATGTTGTGTATGTTTACTGAATTCTACAGTTTCTGATGGTCTTGAAACGTCATTTGCTTGTCTGAAAAAGAAGAAGAAGTCGGTTAGTGGTTCTATCATATCATCTGACATGCTGATTTTGATTGAAAAAAAAATATTTTCGAGGAATGATTTGTATTTGACATCATTTGAACTTTTTCAGGTTCATACCAATCTTCTAAGTGATGAGAAAGAGAACGTAGGGGGTGATAGAGACAGAGTCCAACAACTCACCCTAACCCGCCTCTGTAGCTTCAATTTTCAGCTGCAGATTTATACTTTTTTCCTCTCCTTTTTGCCTTTCAGATCCCTTTTCGAATTCGCTCGGCATCGCATCGCTGTACTTTCTTTGGTATGATATGTTGGTTTTCGTTAAGTTTTGCTACTGATTTTATCGGTTCTGAATTTTCGTTTACGAGTGAAGATTTTGTTTCCTCATTTGCTTAATTCAGTTCCTAGGTAGATGACTTGAGGGTTAGTGTTTAGGTTAGTGTAATTTTCCTGTCATTATTCCTAGCTTAATGGTCTCTTCAATTTCATCTTAATTTATCGAGTAAAAAACATACACATTTCAGTGTAACGAAATTAAACATAAGAAAATATACTTACCGATTCGTAGTAATTGACAGAAACAATTTTTTCCATCTGCTATCAATATTTTAGAAATTTCCGGAGTGAAGAAGATAAGAGTTTTTATCCGTGTTTGAACTGAATTTGTAATTTAATGTACGGGTGTTTGGTTTTTATTTGTTGAGTAAAAGGGTAGTATTGTCTTTTTAATAAAACCATATTTTGTAATTGTTTTATTCATTTAAGGGCATTTTTGTCTTTTTAACACTATTAGGCCAATTGTCTAATATTCAAAAGTGAAAAATCAAAGTTGAATTTCCTCCCTTTGACATGGTCAATTTTAAAAGAACCCCAAAGAATTAACAGAATAGGAGCAACCAGGAACAATTTTTTCAACCATCAAATTAACAATATGCAATTATGTCACTGAAATCGTTGCTCTTCAAAATCGTGAACAGGAAGTACTTTTCTTCTTTTTTTTTGGAAAATAATCACGTCATGCATCTCCTAAAGTACAAATAGTTACAATGGCGCACCAGTCCTTTGATCTGAACCACTCTTAAGGGGCGGCGAGGCCTCCTCCGTAGCCGCCACTTGTAAAAAAGACTGTGATTGTGCAGCCATTGTGTACCTGTAAGAGAGAGGGAGATGAGATGTCGGGTTTTGACGTGCCTGTGCAGAAGAATGTAACGGAATCAATGGCGATATGGAGAAAAGCCCTAGCAATTGTTGGCGGAGTAGCAGTATGGAATGGACCTCAGTACTTTGGGCTTGAAGCTTTCTTTTTAATGGGCTGCTAATGGACCATCAATTGCAATCGAACAACTGAAAGGCCCAGTTGGAAGCTTTAGGTTAAACTTCACATATTTCAAAAGGGTAAATAGCACAAAACATCCATACCTTTTATGTTGTTATTGTACAAAACTTTCATACCTTTCATACCTTTCCATACCTTTTGTGCAAAAGTTCATTTTCAACAATTTTCCAAAAAAATGACGAGTTTACCCTCGTGTTCAAATAAAACAAAAAGAAAAGAAAAGAAAAGAAAATAAAAAATAAAAAACTAATTGCAATCATACTCCCAATATTTTACAAAAGGTACAAACGAATCATAAATAAATTAGAAAAAAAAAATCTTTCTTTCTCCCTCATCCTCCTCCTCCACCACCGCCAGCCAAAGCCGATCCTTCATCCCAGTTCTTCCTGCCCAGTTTTGTAAGCCCCACAAGGGCCTCTGAAACTTTACAATTCCCAGCTGTAATAGTAGCCATCTTCTTCTTCCCAGAAGAGTCCACTACTGGTGTGACTTTGATCCCACCCTTCAACAGTCGGCCAGGGGATAGCGACATACGCCTAGCCACCATCGGACTTGCCTGCCTCCTGCTAGTGGTGGGCGATGGTTGTCGGTACCTAGAAGGCACAATTATGGACGCTTCCCTAGATGTCCTTCTTTTTCTTCCTTCGCAACAACAAGGCCCGACACCGCGCACTTTGAAGGCACAGGAGAACCAGACCTCTTCCCCGATTTCCTAGAGGGCGATGGATCTCTCTCCGCCCCATCTGCTTTCTTCGTGGCTGACATTGATCTTCGTTTCAATGCTCTTGAGGACGAAAACCTCTTCGAACGATGCTCTGAATCCGTTCTACTGTTGCTTCCTTGTTCATCTGCATAATTCACATTCACGTTTATATTGTCTTTGGGAGCACTCACTTGCCTGCTAATCTTACCCCCCTTTCACCAGCAACATTACTTACTGAACCCGAATCTTCATCTTTCTTCCTAGTTCCCAACAAATAGGCTATAATGGGATCCCTAGAAGGAGCGCTGATACAAGCTGAATAAGAAACCCATTTCTGGAAGGTGAAATTCGATCAATTAAGGATTCAGGGGTTCCAATGAAAGAATGGCGCCCGGCAACGGGACGCACATTGATGGCTCCCGAAACGGGAAAGGAATCAAAGACAAACTGGTAGAGATTTTTTTTTCTAATTTATTTAGGATTCTTTTGTACTTTTTTTAAAATATTTTGAGTATGGTTGCAATTAGTTTTTTATTTTTATTTATTTTTTTTTTATTTTTTTGTTTCATTTGAACATGAGGGTAAAATCGCCATTTCATTGGAAAATTTTGGAAAATGACATTTTGTGCAATAAAAGGTGGAAAATAAGGGTGAAAATGTCAAAAAAATGAAAGGTATGGATATTTTGTACAATGACATTAAAAGGTAGGGACGTTTTGTACTATTTAAGAAAACAAGGTTTCAAATTTCAAAAATCGAATTTTTTTAAAAAAATTATTTATAAACTAATTTATTAAATATATATTTTATTAATTAAATATATTAATGTCACAATTATATGCAATTTGGTCACAATTATCTAATTAATTAGTCACAAATTAATTTTCGATCACAACTTATCAAATTATTGGTTACAATTTTTGTGATCATAAATCGAAAATTTTATAGGTCGCAACTCATTTATTCATTGCAAATTATCAAATTAATTGATCACAATTAATTTTTCAATCACAACATATGAAATTATTGGTCACAATTTTTTTTCGGTTACAAATCAAGAGTTTTATGGGTCACATGTTATTTCTCGTCACGAATTAAAAATTTTATAAGTCACAAATTATTCATCGATCACAAAATCAAAAGTTTTATTGGTCACAACTCATTTATTCATTGCAAAATATCAAATTAATTGGCCACAATTAATTTCTCGATCACATCTTAATAAATTGTAAATCACAATCACAACTTTCAAGTCATATATTATTTATTCGTCACAAATTAACCAATTATTGGTCACAATCAACCAAATAATTTGTCACAAACACCCACCCCCATCTCGTCCCACCCACAACCACCGTCATCGCTACCTTCACAACCATCGCTGCCACTACCACCTCACCTCACCAACACCACCAACAACTCATATCCAAACCCGCCAACACCTCACAACCGCCATCACCACCACCACCATATCCAACATATACACCTTCACAGACCTAATAACAAGAAACCATCACGATACCAATACTTAGTCGCCCCCGCCAATTCCGCCACATCACCGCAACCAACCACCGCACATCGTTGCTGCCAGATCCACCACCACCATCAAAACCACCTCACCCAGCACCGCCAACACCAACAGATCCAAAACCTCCCAACACCCCACAATCGCCATCACGTCATAGTCATGTCGCCTCACCACCACCATCACTACGGAGCCGATCTGCTTCATTTCGCTGCACTGCAACTCGTCATCGCAGCAGGGACGCTCACATCAAGCGGTGGCGATTTCGATTTGAGAGTAAAGAGATGATAGCAAAGAGATAATGGAGGAGATAAAAGAAAAATTGATATTAGGATTTGGATGAGTAGATAGGGTAGAGGTGTGTATATAAAATAATTTATAATATTATTATTTATATTAAAATATTAACTTATAATGTTTAAATATGAAATATCTTATTTTTGAAAAATGAAATATATTAACTGACTTTAGAATATTGATCTTCAAAAGTTGGATGTAGTGTAATTTCCACTATATTAAGCCATACTTGCCCCCATTAAATTTTAATTCATCTCTCTCTCTCTCTCCTTATCAATCACACATTCTCTCAATAAAATAATATTACACATAAATTCAAAAATTCACCTTACTTTTAACCGCACATTTTTCAAAAAATACTATTCCAAAATGAATTTTTTTTTTTGAAATAATTGGAGCTCAAACAAGAGCTAAATATCACATCAAGAATAATTTTTTGAATGATTGCGGCCTTACTATTATTCAACTATTTCAATAATAACTTACTTTTCGTTTTTCAATATATATTTAATTTATTTAACCATTTATTTATCATCAATTTACATTTACATTTGACATATTCATTTCAATAGTGTTCTTTTATTAATGTATGAATTTTTTATTATTAATTCTCATTTTATTTAATTAATATTCATTTTCATTTATGTATTTCAGTTTTACTAATTCTACTAATAAGTCTAAAATTTTTCGAAAATTGCTTGTCCATGTGAGATTTTGAATTACATTGAGCACATTGTCATGATTGATTGTCATCTAGATGTGGAAATGATTGTTTTATGGGAAAATCTTTGTATTGGTAAGAATTTAGGTTGTGCACTTGTTGAAAAAATATATCAACCTATATCCATTTCTCTTCCACTTTACCATGTCATGAGATAAGTTTGGAGGTGGTCGAACTGGTGAATGATTTTATTGAGAAGAATGTTGATTCCATGCATGTAGAAAAAAAAATTTGTATGGAGTGTCTTTTGCCAAGTATAAGCTAGGTAATGACCATATGCTAGGAATCTAAGCCCCATTTGATTTTGTTATGCTTAAAAAGAACATTGCACTTGTTGAATCTTAGGCATCACTTCGTAGCCTTTTTTACTCGAATATTAAGTCCGTTGAGGTATCTCAAAACCCGGTACCGTTTGGTCTAAACAATCGGGGAGCTACAGACCTAAAGCTCGCTACAAGGGTCAAGAAGAAAGTTTAAGAGAGTGGGGTCAATCTTGAGTTTTTATTGAAAAATATGATTTGGTGCAATTGTAATTGATTTTGGGCTTAGATAACTAGTGGGTTTAACTTACTTATATAAACTTGATTGTGAAAGCACTCAATAGTGGAGAAACATCACATTTTTAGATGTTGAAAATGCCGGTTAGACCTAACCGAACTAGTGCTGAAAAAGAAATGAGTGATTGAGAGCGACCTTTAGATTTACACATCGAGAAAATAAAAGAAATATCTATTTGAGTGTTTGAATCTCACGAGTGTGAAAGGATATATTTGACTACAAAGGGTTGGGTTGGAACCAATAGCAAATTTTTTTCCATTTTAATGATTGTTTTCTAGTTTTGATGATGATTGAGAATGACTATGCACACACTACACTGATCGAACAACGGATAAGCTAAATGATTTTATACANATGGATAAGTTTAAATTATTTTTGGTAGCATCATTTGGAGCATGGTTATAAATTGATATACAATTTTAAAACTCTTTGATATTTTTTTGCAAGCTGTCTAATATGTTGATCATTATTGCATTTGCATGATTATGTTAGGAGTTAATCTTGCTCGGGACGAGCAAGAGCTCAAGTTTGAGGGTTTAAGGCACTTTTCGGAGTTAAATATAATTGAAATTGAGTACATTTCTATGCATAATTGTGTAATTTTTACTTTTGTAGGTAAAAACCCCGATAAGAAGGTCAACGAGGCAAAAGGAGAAGAAAAAGGACGAAAAGTGTACAAAAATGTGAAGTTGGGGACCAAAGTGCACAAGCCAAAAAGTTGGAGGACTTGGAGTGCAATTTATCAAGTTGGATAGTTTCTTGTGATTTTAGCCACTTAACTAAGCTTATTTCTTAGTTAAGTGATAAGTTTGCATTATCTTTGTTTTTTTTTTAACAGGATATATTTTTGGATATTTTTGAAGTCTCTAATTATCCTTTAAAATTAACCAAAAAACACTCCAAACATATCACTCTCTCCCTCTCTCCCTCTAGCACGTTTTTCTCTCTCTATTTTTTTCCTTGCTTTCATTTTTATTTCTTTTGTTTAGTTCTTGGCTCATTTTGGAAGCAAAGTTCATAGCAATTAGGAGATTTCATCAAAGGAAACTTGGAGGAATCATGGGAGGAATTCACTAAAAGGGTTGTATCTAAACCTTTGTTTTTCTTCCATTATTTTTCTAAAGTTTGTAACGTATTATATAAACAATCCCCTTTTTTGTTATCTATATATGATGAGCTAAGTATTTTGTGTTGGAATTTATGTAGTAACTTAACCAATATTTCATTAATATCATAGAATGTTTTGAATGATTGTTAAGATGCATTTGTTATCAAAATATTAGTGCATTAATCATCATGTTAAAATTACTTCATTTATTTGATATCAATAGATGTTGTAGTTAGGTGTTTATGTGATTGTTGAAAAATAGTTGCATTTACTAGATCGAAATGATTAATTCCCTAGATTTGCATTAGTATATCTATTGCGCGTTTAGGTGATAAAGAGATATACACTTACTCTAGGTGACTCTTGAGTTATTTTCACAACAATCCATGAAATTAGTTAAGTTTGTATCAACGTAGAAATATGTGGTATGAATTAATTAATTAGGGTTAATATCGTTCGAAAGATGGTATTAATTTAAAATAGGAAAATCAGGTCTAACTACTTATTTTGGTAATTTGCATCAGCGCATAATTGAATTGATATTAATAAAATAAAGGTTAAGCGAAATCATAAATTCCAACATCTTTTCGAAATCAAAATCTTTTCACCTTTCATTTGTCATTTTACGTTTTAAATCAAAATTGTCACTTTTTAATTTAAAAATCACGTTTTTAAATCTGTGTGTCAATTTCGTTAATATGAGACAAATAAGCTTATAATTGAAATCAACACTCTCTGTAGGATCGACTCGGACCTAAAAAGTCCATTTTACTACTTGTTCTCGACCCGTGCACTTGCGACATATTTTCAGCGAACAAATACATATTTTAAAACCTTAGAACAGAACCAGAACGTAAAGAACGCCTCCAAACTCCATTCTTCATTATTTCTCTCTTAGATTCATGAATTGTAGCTAAACTTTTACACTTGGTCGAAGGAAACGAAAGCCTCGAAACCACATATTGTGAGATCTAAATAGTTTTTCTTATTGTTTGATTTATATTTTTCATATTGAATGTTCTTCTATATTTTTTTAATGATTTGTTGCGTTTAATTGCTAGAGGGCCCGCTAGTTCATTGATTGTAACAATATACCGCTAAGTTAAATATCAAATCCGTAATTGTTTGATCCCTTTAACTTGTGAAGCACTAGGATTTGATAATTTTATGCGATAGAGGCTATTGAATANTCTGCGATAGAGGTTATTGAATCTTAAGAAGAATGTTTAAATAGATTGAATACAACCGCTGGTGTTTGTGTTATCTAGTTCATCGATTTCTCTAATGTGTAAAGCTGTTATTAAATTGAATCTTGATCGCTGGTCTGGGGTTTTTTTATAATTAGGGTTAATTAGAACGAGGTTTCTAACCAACTAAAATTAAGGAAAAATATGATTCAATTCCAACAATAAATATTCAAAATATGAACTGAATTATCATTGCATCTATGATCAATCGTGGATTTTCGACGGTGGAGATGGACTTAGACCAAGGTTAGTCTTTCGATTGTTTTCATTAATTTAATTTTTATTGTTATTGATTATATTATTTACAATTGTTTGCATACAAAAATCTCTCAATCATTGTACGAAACATAAAATATTGAATTACATACTCTTTGTGGGATCGACCCTTATTTTCACTACCACATTAATTTTAGAGGTTAAGGTATTACTTTTAGGTGCTTGCGACAGCACACGCCAAATTTTGGCGCTGTTGCTGGAGAGTCGTGCTAATTTATTTTTGTGCTTCTTTAGTTGTTTATTTTATTTAAATTTTTTTTAAAAAAAAATCATAATTTTCTAAGTTTTTAGACAATTTATTATTTTTAACAATTTTAGCATATAATTTTTTTTTTTTCACTCGAGCTTCTTTTTAATTCGTTTTTCATTTGTTATATTTGTTTATGTCCGCAACTCGATCTTCTAATCGAGGAGAATTGCAGTACGATCTGAAATTAGAAAAAAACAATGCACTTGTTAACGAGTGGTTTGAAAAATGTGGGCTTTTGAAGGGCATTTTCNCTAACTTGAATCAACAACCTCCATGCATTACTTTTCCTAATTTAGATGTTGCTACTACTTTCGAATTAAAATCTGGGCTAATTTATCTTTTGCCCACTTTCATGGTCTTGCAGGTGAGGATCCACACAAGCATCTAAAGGAATTCCATGTGATTTGCACAAGCATGAAACCTACGGGAGTCACCGAAGAACAAATCAAACTGAGAGCCTTCACATTCTCTTTAAAAGATTCATCAAAGGATTGATTCTATTATCTACCTTCTGGAAACGTTACTACATGGGATGGAATGAGAATATTATTTTTAGAGAAATACTTCCCAACTTCAAGGGCAGCTAACATTCGAAAGGAAATCTGTGGCATTGATTACGCCCAAAGAATAACGCGGTAGTTGTAGTACAGTTTTGGGATGTCGTATTCACAGGGAGATGTAAGAATATTTAAAGGATCAAAAATGTTGAATTGTTCTCTCAAATGTATGATAAAATTCAATGTTGAAATGTGAAATTAAAATCAATAATTTGAAGCAGTGAAGCGCCAAAATTCCCTCAATAGGATTGGATCAATTATATCAATTATTCATTTTTATAACATAATTAGATGCTTTCATCCCGACACTCTAATCGGAATATATATCGTGAAAACCAATTTAATTTATAAATACAATTCTAGAATTTAGACTTAAGACATATTAGCACAATTTTATTGGAACAAGATCAAAGATCGACATATACATCAAGCATAAGAGAGTAATTAATCCGTCAATAAAGTGAAATTGAGATTAAAATTCAACAACTAGTTCAATCTAACGATAGAAGAAGCATGACTGGATTTATGAAGGATATAATAATTGTTAAACCAATCTCAACAACAAATAATTGAAATTGAAATTCAATAAATAGTTTGATTGAATAATAGAAAAAGCATGACTGAATCCATGAAAAATTTTATAAATATTAAACCGATTTCAATATAAATTTAAGAGAATGAAAATCTAAATTCTAGGATTTTTTGACAAAGAAAAGATCAAATTAAATGAATAAAAGATATGAAATCACCAATTCCAACCGAGTTCCTTCGCAGCTTCACCAAGGGTTTTAGTTCTCCATGAGTTTTTTGAGCCAAAGAGGAGAAAAATAGTGTATGGCGGACTTTTCCATATATATTCTGCTGTTAAGTATTTGTAAGAGTAAAAAATTAGATGAAAATCACGTCCAAATTGGTTTCCAAAAGAGTTCTAATCGAATAAGGAAAGTTGCATTCGCGTGCTGATTTTTTTCTCTGCACAACAGTCAGTAATTTGGTTATAACTTTCTCTTTCGATATCCGATTTAGAATATTCATAATGAGTTAAAAAGATAACACAAAGAGCTACAACTTTGTTAAAAATAGCTCTTTCCCAATTCAAACTTTTACTATGCTAAAAATGGGTCTCAATCTTCGGCCAAAATTCTGGAATATATCTAGCGCGAATTTGAAATTGATTTTGATAATATTTTGACCATATTCAATTCCTTTTTGATTTCTAATTGCTTTCAATCGACCCTTAACATTCTCAAACCTTCATCATGAGCCCCGATACAATTTTTGAGTATTAGCACTTTAGTCCCTGAACTTTCAATTTCTTCAATTTTGGTCATTTTTCGCTATTCTCTTCAATCTTCCACCGTTTTTACCCATTTGCAACCTAAACCAAGTTATAGAAGTACTTAGTGCATTTAGGCATCAAATAATTATAGAAA